GAGGCAGCATGAAGAAGCCCACACCGAGCCAGCTCACCAGCTCCTGCTATCCCTTTCCTGGTATTTAGGTTCCTTTGTTTAAGAAAACCCCAAAAGAGGGGCACGGCGCCTGGGTGGCTCTGTTGGTTAAGCATCTGCCTTTGGCTCAGGTCATGATCTCGGGGTCCTGGGATCGAGCTCCGCATCAGGCTCCCTGCTCAGGGGGGAGTTTGCTTCTCCCTCTGCCTCTCTCCCCGACTTGTGTTCTCTCCCCCTCTCTCTCTCAAATAAATAAATAAAATCTTTTTAAAAATTAAAAAAAAAATAAAACCCCAAAGAAACTTTAGGGTTCCAGGGCTGAGCAGTATAGCAGATTATAGCCCACTGTGATTCCTTGTCTTGCTTTTCAGGAACACTGAGCCACATTAACTACCATGACCTCTTTCTGTGAGTTTGGAGGAGGATAGGTCCTTTCATGGCTCACTGGCTGCTCTGGTCCTAGCCTCATCATCTGCTTTAGGGCCAAGCACAGCTCTGAGCCAAGGAGAAACCCTTGCAGGGATTTCCTGAGTGAGCCTTTAATTACCATAAACTGGTTGACCCCTTTGGGAGCCCAAGCTTTCTACGGCCATTTGTTGGTGTCTCTTTAGCTCCTATTCTGTATCTAGCTTGTTAGTAGTATGTATATTGACTGGAGAAAGAATCTGTGATCTCTGTTTCCTCCATGACCTCTCAGCTGGGTAGCCAGCCTCGATGCCCTTCACCGAAAGCGTCTGCCACGTCTGCCTGCCACTTGGAGGAGTGCCAGGTGTGAAAACAAGTCGGTGTGCAAAATAGAGGAAAACAGCCCTTTCTCTGAGTAATCCCTTAAAAATTTTCCAATTTATCTATCAATTTTTAGCCTATTCCTATTTCTACTTATTGTGTCAATTTTTGCATTTTAGTCCTATGGGAAATTATCCTTTTCAGTGAGCTTTTCAATGGCAGAATTTTATAAGTGTGCAGGATATTCCTTTATGATTTAAAGCAGTCTTTTGTACTTGGCTAGCTCCATCTCCATACTTCTTTCAAATTTTTTTGATTTAGGCTTTTCTTTCTTTGTCTCCATTCGTCCCAACACAAGTTTGTCTCTTTCATTAGTATTTCCAGAGAACCAGGTTTTAGATTTATTAATTTTACTATTTTTCTATTTGTTTATGTGTACTTTGTTATGTCATTCGTCTGTTATTTTCCATTTTTCCCCTAAGATTTTTAAAATTAAAAAAAAATTTTTTTAAAGATTTTATTTATTTTTTGACAGAGAGAGAGACAGCGAGAGAGGGAACACAAGCAGGGGGAGTAGAGGAGGGAGAAGCAGGCTTCCCGCTGAGCAGGAAGCCCGATGCAGGGCTCCATCCCAGGACCGGGGATCATGACCTGAGCCGAAGGCAGACGCTTAACAACTGAGCCACCCAGGCGCACCTCCCCTAAGATTTTTAAGTGGAATGCTCAGCATCACTATTTCTGCTTTTATATTGTAACAGAATCATCTAATGCTCTAATCTGACACATGTGGTCTGCTGGGTCAGGATCCTGTAAGTTTTGCTATTTTAAAATTTAAAAAAATTATCTTCTAACGTTACAGTTATTGTGCTCTGCTTCCCTTTTCTCATCTCTGTTATACAGTACAACATGAAAGTGAAAAGTTCAAAGGGGACATTGGGGCGCTGGGTGGCTCAGTGGGTTAAGGGTTCAACTCTTGGTTTCCGCTCAGGTCATGATCTCAGGGTCATGTTGTCCTCTGCGCTCAGGGTGGCATCTGCTTGAGATTCTCTCTCTCCCTCTGCCTCTCCCTGTTCTCTCCTACGTGTGTGCATGCATGTTCTCTCTCTCTAAATAAATAAATGATAGATAATAAACAAATAAATAAAGTCTTTTAAATAATAAGTTAAAAGGGAGCTTTATGATAAGATTGGCTGGGTTAGAAACCCAATTGCTATACTAACTAACCAGCATGTGACCTTCTTCAGAGCTATGTGGTGAAGACTGCACAGATAGTATGTATCATAGATTTTGCTTAATTCTATATATGTTCATAGCAGAGTTCCTGTGGGCATACTCCAGGGTCTCTGAATATTTGGGGTGGTGGGCGTATTGGCCACAGGCGGGGGCGTCTGGCGGGGGTGGTGGTGGTGGATTGCCGCAGGTTGGCCCTTAAGCACTTTATTCAGTGCCGAGTTCCTGCACTCGCAGCCGCTGTCCTGGGCTCTTCTGTGGGTTTCCTATTGTTCAGCTGCCCTTCCCCTACCTGTTCAACTGCCTTTCTTTCCACAGTCCCAGTTAGTCACCCCATCAAGCAGCACACAGCTTCATAATCGTTTCTCTTTTATCTAGTCTTTTTGTTGTGCAGGCCCTGTTGTCTTTATTCTCAGTGAGGGTTGGAGCATCAATATTCTGTTTGTAACAATTACAGCAATGGTTTGCAGGCAGCAAGGAGCACTCACATGTAATCATCCACATGCAGTGAAATGCAGTATTCTAAACTCTTGATGGCATATGAAAAGTTCTTGCGTTTTGTCTTCTTTCTGTAACTTCTCCTTTTCTGTTCTTTAGTAATTTAGCCTGTGACTCCAGTTGTTCCATTGTTAATATAACTTAGTTTAAAAATTAGTATAGTATATTTACTAATAAATAGTATAGTAGCAATAACGCTTGTCCTCTGTTTATGCTTCTCTTGGTTTTGTTCTCTATTAGATATATTTTTTATTTTTTTTAAAGATTTTATTTATCTATTTGACAGAGAGAGAGAGAGAGATAGCAAGAGCAGGAACACAAGCAGGGGGAGTGGGAGAGGGAGAAGCAGGCTTCCTGCTGAGCAGGGGGGCCCATGCGGGGCTCGAGCCCAGGACCCTCCGATCATGACCTGAGCCGAAGGCAGACACTTAACGACTGAGCCACCCAGGCGCCCCTAGATATATTTTTTAAAGAGTTTATTTATTTATTTGAGAGAGAGAGAGTCTTAGCATGAGCAGGGGGGAGGGGCAGGAGGAGGGGGAGAAGCAGACTCCCCTCTGAGCAGGGAGCCTGATCCCAGGACCCTGGGATCATGCCCTGAGCCGAAGGCAGATGCTTAACCCACTGAGCCACCCAGACGCCCTCTAATTTACCTACTTATCAAATAGTTGCTGAGCAACAGTGCTTTAAAGATTTTATTTATTTATTTGACAGAGAAAGACACAGCGAGAGAGGGAACACAAACGGGGAGTGGGAGAGGGAGAAGCAGGCCCCCCGCGGAGCAGGGAGCCCGACGCGGGACTCGATCCCGGGACTCCAGGATCATGACCTGAGCCGAAGGCAGTCGCTTAACCAACTGAGCCACCCAGGCGCCCAGCAACAGTGCTTTAATTCAGCTCTTGGTCTTCTGGATAAAGCCTTGTTCTTTCAATTGGTTGGATAATTGGTGGACATATTTCTGAGGTTTTATGTGGCAAGTTGCCTCTCTGTAAGCTTTACTAATCCATGGGAGTTTGACTGAGGCCGTGTAGACCTTGGGTCAGTGTTTATAAGTTTTTTGAAAATGAAATTAGATCTGTCATAAATTTTTGTGTCCCCATCCCCTTCCACTCCTTGTTGATTAAAAATAAAGTTGCATTCCTATTACCAAAAAGTCCCTTTATGCAGCCTGAGACCCATGACACCACCAGGTAGGAGTGTTACTTTTTCACTGGAACAGAGGGGATTAGTGGGCTGTCACTGTGTTTCTTGCCGGGGCCCCTGGAGTCTGGCCCTCTAATTATAACATGGAAGGAGAGCCCTGTAGGGTCTGCTTCAAGCCCCTCTGCTTAGGAATCAGATTGCTTGAGTTTTGTTTTTCTGTCAAAAAATAAGGAGAGGGGCGCCTGGGTGGCTCAGTCGGTTAAGCGTCTGTCTCTTGGTTTCGGCGGTCATGATCTCAGGGTCGTGTGATTGAGCCCCTGTCAGACTGCACACTCAGTGGGGAGTCTTTGGGAGATTCTCTATCCCTCTGCCTCTCCCCACTGTGTATGCATTCTCTCACTCTCAAAATAAATAAATAAATCTTAAAAGAATATAAGGAGAAACTTTTACTTCATGCCCCAATGATAGTTTCATGATTGGAGGACATCTGTAGCCAATTTTATTCTATTTTTCTTTATGAAGGTGTTAAAGGTTTGAACCATATTGTGCCCAGTTCCCCCATCCTATGTAGAACCCGTGGGTCCCTGGGTTGTGCCAACAGAGACTCAGCAGCAAAGTCTTGGCAACTCTGCTTTCACCTGCTCCTGTCACCAAGCAGACTCACCAGTTTGGAGGCTCTTTCAAATAAATAATGAACCCACCTTTTGGTAGAGGACAGAAATGCTGCATATAATATGTGGACATTAATGGACACTGATTTTTGAATGGGAACCAAAGGGCGGTGGTGTCTTTTGGTTGTTTTTTCCTTGGGAGGGGAGCCCGTCCGAATACTGGCACACCATACAGGGATCTCCCAACTCAGTGGTTCTGTAACTTTTGTGGGAACCAGCCTCACCGGGAAACTAGGAGCTGTACGGAGACCCAGGGCCAAGCTGTGGAAATGCACCTGGGCTGCTGTGTTCTCTGTGAGCTCTTCAGACCGTTGTGATACAACACAACTCTGAGAACCACGGCCCCGGACCAGAAGGATGCCCCATTCTCTCTTTCATAGCTCCCTGAGGAATTTCACCTTTCCTGAGCACCACCAGGACCTAGCTTCTCAGCTGTCCTGAGAACCCTCAAAGAGACTCTAACCCTCTTTATTTTCTTGCCCCAAACACACTAAGAAGTTTATTTGAACCTCTGATTCATCTGTGTGAAAGATTTTCCAGTGCTTTTCCAGATGGGAATGGCTGAGCCTTGTTCTCGTGTCCTCTGTCTAGATCTGCTCTCTGCTGCCACTTCCATCCTGTTCTGCTGCTGGCAGGGGCTCCCCGACAACACCTGAGACTCTGGGGGGACTTGGCTACCCTTACTGAGAACTTATTTTTTTTTCTCTTTCACAGTTTTTGTTTCCTTTAAGTGCTGTACCAATGATGTGATTATTTGTAACATACCACCCCCACAGTCTGTCACAGACCAACGGCTAGAAGGATCCTTTTAACATCTAAGTCCTCTCAAATCCTCCAATGACTGCCCATGGTAAGCCAAAATTTAACTAATGGCTTTGGAATAATCCGGTTCCTGGTGTATTTCTGTGCTTACCCATTTGACACTCTCCCCCTTGGTGTGGAGAACACTCTGGTGTGTCCCCCTCATCAGGACTGAATTATTCCCTGCAGCCTCTAGGCCCCTGTGGAAATTGCCCATCAATGGGGAAAGCTGCTTCTCCCAAGGCCAGGCCCTTGTCCTGGGGCAGCCTGCATCTGATGACTGGTGGATACATGGGCATAGAGCCTGGCAACTCTAAGGGGCCATCCAACTTGTGAGCTCCCTGAGGGGCCACCTGAGTTCTCTGTCAAGATCACATTGTGGGGGCGCCTGGATGGCTCAGATGGTTAAGCGACTGCCTTCGGCTCAGGGCATGATCCCAGGGTCTGGGGATTGAGCCCTGCATCGGGCTCCCTGCTCAGTGGGGAGTCTGCTTCTCCCTCTCCCTCTGCTGCTTCCCCTGCTTCTGCTCTCACTCACGCACTCTCTCTCCCTCAAATAAATAAATACAATCTTTTTTTTTTTTTTTTTAAAGATCACATTGTGGTCCAACTTCTTTTGTTTAATCCTGCTTCCTCCCCTTTACTTTTATATGTGTTGGTCCTGAGCACATGCCCTGCAATAGACTTCCTACATGATCACCTCATTCTCAGAGTCTGCTCCTAGGGATCCCAGTCTATAACCCATGGTCACTTTCCTCAAGCTCCTTGGCCCTCTTCCTTGGCTCAAACAGTACCAACTCTGATAGCACCTCAGGGCCTTTGCATGGGTTCTTTCTTCTGCTGTATCACTCTTGCCTTTGCATATCTAGATGGCTTGCTTCCTTACTTCTGGTCTGTGGTCAAATGCCATCTCATCAAGCGGGCTTTGTAGCATCCCTGTATAAAATAAAAACCCTTTCCTCATTACCTTATTTTATTTTCCACCACTCCTTATGGCTACCTGACAGAAATATTTCTGTTTACTATGTCTTCTTCTACCAGTGTGTGTGTTTCATGGGAATATTTTGTTTATTTTTCTGTCCCCAGTGTCTGGCACAGAGTAAGAACTGAATAAATATTTGTTTGAAAGAATGAATAAATGAGTGGATTCTATCTGCTCTCCTGCTCTAAGCCTACAAGTACTTTTCTCCCCCCCATGCCTCCTCCTGTTTGGTTGCAGTTGGGTGGCTGGAATTTCCAACTAGAAAGAGCACATTCTGAGATACGTTCTTGACCAGATGATTTAGTTAGGAGGGGGGGAAAAGATAGGATTCTTGGGAGAATGCCTGGAAAAAAAACCCTTTTTCCCAAGGGGAAATGAAGAATAAATGGTCTTCTGGCTTCTTTTCTTCTTCTTTCTTTTAAAAATTTTTTCCTTTGCTGTATTTGAGCTGTCACATTTCAAAGCTTTGGACACTGACCTCTGTGTCTACAGCCCTTTTGCCTTTAAGCTCATCACTGTCTGTTGTATGTGAATTACAAGGGGAGGTGCTGAGCCGCTCAGCTGTCACTCATGGTCATCAGCACCTCTTTGCTAGGCCATACATTAGACATCCTCATTTCTGAGGACCGGTTAGTGACTGATGAGTCTCCCCAATTCATTCAGCCACTGACTTCATACTTAGATACTTCCCCTATGTATTAAAATCTTCCTTTATTAAAAAAAAATAATGAAGACAAAGCCCTTGTGACACAATATTTCAATTAAGAGAAGCGACAGTGGGTAAGTCCTAAACTTACCCTCGTCCTATGCTTAACAAATACTTTTTTTTTCCCTCACATAGGAATATGAGACCTGAGCATGCCTTTCCCGTTGTGGGCATGGTATGGTTTGAAGGAAGCCACTCACGTATCCATCTAATTTCCGGAAGATCTTGATTGTGAAGGGCTGTTTGTAGATCCCGTCAGAGGTGCCAGGTAAATGAACAGTGACTTATTCAATTAACTGATAAGAATCTATTAGCATGGATCCAAACCGTCTTGTTTGAACACAGAGCATTATGTACAGAGAACGACCAGGGTGGCTGTCATTTCGTCTGGGTGAAATACGAAGATCCTGTTTGTGTCACAGCCCAGAAGGTGGCGACATACACATTTAAGGGACAAAGGATTTTTAAGTGCCAGTGGGCCCTGTGCAGGTAGCAGTTAGTGAGAAATTCCTCTAATTGGATGGTTTTAAGAGCAGAACCCACCCTTTCTGTGTCCAGCAGGCATTCCCCTTTGAAGAGGTCAGGGCACTCCCAGTTTGCATATTTTCCTACATTGTTGAGCATGGTGGGCCAAAAGTGGGCATGGCAGCTGGAGGACTTACTTTGAAATCCTGGCTTTGCCATTTATAGTCTGTGTGGCCCTGAGCATGGTGCTTAACCTTGGTTTCACTCAGTATAATTTAGGACGAATAAGAATTCTGTCATCAGGCTCTGAGGATGAAATGAAAGGTGTGCTAAGTGTGTTACATACTGTCATGTCTGTGCATATGCCCTTCGTCTTTGCTTGCATTAGGAAAGGGTACCGTTCTGGGGGGCTCCAGCCCCTCAGCCGTTGGGTGTGGGGCAGGTGGAGAGCCTTCTAGAGCGCAGCCCCTACTGGCCCCTTCCTGGGCCTCTGAGGCCTTGCTTCTTCACTCCTCCCACCTCACCTGGGGACCTGTGAACCTAGTGTTCCTTGCAATGGTTCATCTTAGGTGACTGAACATGGGGAGCGGTACCTCCCAGAAGAGAAGGGTGTCATGTTACTTCATCAGAGGGAGATGAAAGAGAGTTAACCAGGACAATTTAAGACTTATAGCCTTAAAATATACAATACTTATGCTGCAGGGACAGCCTGGAAGGAAAAAAGAAACCCGTATAAATTTAACAAAGAATCCTTGGAGTTCTGAATTGGAAGCTTAGCCCACAACGCAGGAAACTCGACCTGCTTGGGAAATTGGATTTGGTAAGCTTTGGGATGTTGAAATTCCTGGATGACTTAACAGGGTGTCTAGAACGTGGGTTCCTGTGAATGATGACTTGGAGCCGTGCAGTGCCAGCTGTGGGGACACGTTGCTATGGAAACCCTGGAGCTGGAAGTTCCTCCATGACTAGGAGATGCTGTCAATTAGATCTATGCACTTGGGGAGTCTAACGAAAACAGACACTTGTCATTTTTCCTGCAGCCATCTAACATTATATATATTTAAAATATGTCCATGGAAAGAAAAGCCTGCGGTTAAATTTCACTGTTTATTTTAAGAGAATTCCCTTGTGTGGCTTTGACGGGGCAGATTTTTTTTCCCTCTCCCTCTACATTAAAGGAAAACAGTGAGGCCCTCCAGTGTTGAGCAGAAACACCATTAGGAGAGTCACTTAGGTGGTTCATTTGAGGCTGTTGGAGGGCGGCCTCAGTCCTACAACCTTATCTACATCCCAGCAGGGGGACGGGGGCTGGTCTGATGGGGCCTCCCCTGCAGATTTCCCCTGCTCCTACTGGGTCCCAGGGCTCTTTGGTATTGTGAACCCACACTGACTGACTGATAGATACTTTCCTTTTAATGGGGTAGCTCAGACAAGAAACCTTTATTAGACATCACTCTCTTTAAATGTCAGATGCTGAGGAATGAAGAATCATAGTTTTTGCTTAGACTGACTTGCCATCTGAGGCCAACTGCTGGGATCTGACTCTCTCTGAGAACACAAATCAATAGTCGGCACAGAAACCACAGTCAGAAGAAGAGCTGGTTCCAAGATTAGCTATTACTATTTGTTTTCAGTTGAAAGCGTGTGTGTATGTATTTGCTTATTTTTACCCAAACATGCTATTTTTGAGATGTAATTGACAGCAGAGACACTTATCCCTCTTATCATGGGTATCATTAATAGCAAGATAGGACTGGCTTTTTTCAAATTGGGCTGGGAAATGAGGCCCCAGTGGCCATAAACCATGTCAGGTACATACAAAGAGCCAAAAACGCATATTTATTGAGTCTGTCTTTGCTTCACCCATTAGACAGCCCAATGATAACTGAAAACCGAATTCCCCACGTAGAGAATAAAGACTGGTGCCTCCCTGACTTCTGAGTTCGGGGCATCCTACTCTTTTTACTTTCTTTTAGATGTCAAATCATAGGTAGGTCAACAGAAGCCTATGTTGTTAGTTCTATGGCTAAGTTTGGTTTCATAAGAATGTAGCAGATTTGGTTTTCAGCAATATTTGAAAACTGCATTCTATGCTTGGGATCTGATTGCATGTGATAATTATCACATCTCTGCTTGTGGCACAGAAGCTAACAATATTGATATGGAAAGACACAGATATTGCTTAGCCTCACTGATGGAATTGGGGGGGCAGTAATTAGACATCTCCCCAAAGTAATATAATATGTGGCTCTGTATAAAGATTATGCTAAGAAACGCTTTCTTGGTATATTTGCAGTAATGGTGGTAATTAGTACAAAAGAAGCAGGAAATAGCAAGCCCAAGTCAGATATCTGTCTCCACAGCTCTCTCTTCTAATAGCCTTTAATATCAGACACTGCAGGTGGGTGGCTGGTGGTATGATCACCCACAACGAATATATTGACGTAGGAACTGTACCACAATATTTAGGACATCAGACTGAACGTGGGCTCTACCCTTAACTGACTCTGTAATCTTGGGAGGGTCACTCGCCCGTCTGGCTCTCGCTTTCACCACCTCTTATATTACAAGAGAGTTGATCTAATTGAGTACAGGTTTCCTTTTTTGATTCTGCAGGTGCAAAGCCTGCCGTGTGGCCTTTAGGAGCTGAGTGAATGTTTCCTTCCTGGAAAGACATCCAGGGAAGACCCCGCTCCCATAGCAGTAGGGGTCCTGCTCCGGCTTCCCAGCCTAACCACAAGGACACTTGTCCTGTTTCTGCACTGCAGCATTAAGAGTCTAAACACCGCCCTCTCTCAAACAGCAAGGGTTGGCTAGGTAGTGCACTCACCACGCACTCTTAAATTTTCTTGTGTGAAAAGAAGAGAAATGTTGCCTGTTGTGGGTATTTTAGTTGGTATTTATAAGATCATAAAGTTGCAGCAACATGATAATAGCTTGGATTCCCTTAAATTTTGTGGTTTACTACTTGATACGGTAGCCTAAAATCAGAACTTGGAAAATCACAAAGGCGTGGTCATCTTCCCTTTAACTCTGTTAATGACAATCATTTTATAGAGAAAATTACTCCCCTCTGGATAGTGTCTCCTCTAACTCCATGCTGTCTGCCAGCAGAAGGTGAAATTATAATTACAAACTTGATCTTGGCTGTGACCCCTGAATTGGCCCTTTGAAGGAACTTGGATTATGTCTGAGTCTGTTATCTCTGCGAGGAGACAAGCTGTCTTCAGAATTGCTTTTGGGGCCCCAGCATGTCATTGTGAAATTGCAGTTAGTAATCTTGCCAGTGTTTTTCAGATTTGGTGCAGATAAACTTGAACACATCTGGTTCCCTGGTTTCTAATGTTATTTGGGGAATTGTATGATTTAAAGCCCTTATTTTCTTTAACTCAATTCTCATCATCATCCATCAACATCACGTACTTTTATTCTCCATTTCACTTTTATATGATCCTATTAGTTGGGAGTAACCCAAGTGATATTTTTCTTTACTATGGCCCTGTCTCCTCTTTGCCTTTGCTAGAACTCAGAGACTGTATACCTTTTCCTAAATCAGAATTCAGCCATCCTCTGACAATTTCCTTAACTGCGATTTTCTTTTCTTTGCATTCTGCTAGGGATGGAATGAAGGCAGTTTGTTCTGCTCAATGCAAATGACATTTACAACAATGTCCTCAAATCAGAGACCTGAAATGCCTCTCTTGGATTATTGAGGCAATCAGCTGCACTCCATGGTGCCTTTGTGCTGCTCCACGAAGGGGAAGTGGGTTTAGGGATTGGAGGGTGTATCAAGCTTCCAGGCCCCAAGGAACACGGCCGCGTGGTGATTCCTGTGTGTGACTCAGCAGATGTGTAATCCAGGATGTGTGAGAGGCATCATTCCTGGAGATGGGACCACCTCTCATTAGGCTTCCGGGTGAAATTGACATTCCTTGTTGTCAAGGGGCCAGAGGTGCTGCGTGAGTTTATCCAGTGCTGGCCTGCTTCTGGGGCATTTCTGCCTTTCCTTAATTGTTTGTATCTAGATCGGAAACCTCACTGCTCACAGGCCAAGACAGGAGTACAAATATACTATTTCCATTCAAGGTCATATAAAGAATGCAGATTCCTCCTGTACAGCTTTTTTTCCTTCTGCCCTAGCAGGAGAGAGACATATGATAATCCAAGTACCCGTTGTTCAGTTCAATTTGACAAAATGCTCATTGAGAGTCTGCTGCACTGGGATCAGTGAGATGAAGAAGTGATAAGACAGTCCCTGCTCATGAGGTGTCATAACTTGAGTGGATTGGATGTGGAATGTGCTGGACTAAGTGACATCCTCAGTGGGGAAAGGGAGTGAGTCGGAGCTGATTATGGAAATGAACCAGCTCTGGAATTTTCCTCTCTAAACAGGTGGCCAGCATTGTAATATACTGCATAAAATGAGTTCCAGTACCTTGTAGTTAGTAGCTGAAGGAATGTGACTCTGGGCCAGGCTAATTCTTGAAGTTCTACGGATGGAGAACCTTGAGCTACCTGATTTGTCAGTGCAGACACGGCCCTTATTACTGGTCAGGGGTAGCAAGTCAGGACCCTGCTTCCTGAAGCAAGGAACAGTGTGGGTGAAGCAGGCTGTCAGAGTCCTGTCCACAGAAATAGGAGTTGCTGCATCGCTACATTTCCCACATTGTACTGATCCCCACCCCTACTTTCATTTGTATCCTTACTTCGCTTGGCTTTTGGAACACCAAACGGCTTGGTTTTTCTTCTATCTCACCAACCACTCTTCCCAGTCTCCTTTCCTGCTTCCTCCTCCTTTCCCGACCTCTTAATGCTGGAATGCCCCTGGGCTCAGGGCTTGATCCCCTCTCTACTGAAACCCCTTTACCAGTCTCTCGGCACTGAGTAATGCCTATATCCAAACAAGTTTTAAATGTACACTTCTAGCTGAGGTCTCTGTTCTAAATTTCAGATTCGCTTATCCAGCAGTCTACTCAACATCTACACTTGGGCCTCTCAGACTCCACAGGTCCAACATGAGCTCCTTTCCACCTGCTCCTTCTGCAGGCTCCCATATCTCAGCTGATGGCAAAGCTGGTCTTCTGGCTGCTCAGGGAAAGAAGCCTTGAGCCGTTGCGGTTCCTCTCTTTCTCTCACATATGAAATCTACTCCGCTAGGAAATGCCATTGGCTTTCGACCTTCAGAACATATCCAGGGAACAAAACTTTTTCCACCTCCTCTACTACCATCCCAGGGCTCGAGACTTCTATATCTCATTACCTTCCTGGAGTAGGCTAATAATTTTCTAACCACTTCTCACCCTCCCTTTCTCCTGCACAATTTTCAACACAGTAGCCAAAATATCTGATCCATGTAATATCTAAGCCAGACCATGCCACTCTTTGGAAACCCTGCAAAGTCTCCATTCACAGTGAAAGCCAGGGTCATAAGAAGATCTGCATGGTCCAGCCAATGACTTCTCAGACCTCATCTCCTGAGGCCCTATGCACAGTGGCTCCAGTCCACACCTCTGGCCCTCTGAGCACCCAGACAGCCTCCTCCTAGTCTCCACACTGGCTGTCTCCTCTGCTTTCCTCCCATTATCTGCATACTTTCCTTCCTCACCTCCTCTAGCCTTTACTCAGTTGTCACCTTCTCAATATGGCCTGCTTAAATCCCCTATTTTATTTTATTTTTTATCTTTTTTTTTAAAGATTTTTTTTTTTTTTATTTGACAGAGAAACAGCAAGAGAAGGAACACAAGCAGGGGGAGTGGGAGAGGGAGAAGCAGGTTTCCTACTGAGCAGGGAGCCCGATGCGGGGCTGCATCCCAGGACCCTGGGACCATGACCTGAGCTGAAGGCAGATGTTTAACGACTGAGCCACCCAGGAGCCCCTATTTTTTATCTTTTTTAAAGATTTTATTTATTTGAGAGAGAGCATGCATGTGAGCAGGTGGGAGGGGCAGAGGAAGAGGGAGAAGCAGACTCCCCACTGAGGGAGCTCAATCTCAGGACCCTGAGATCATGACCCGAGCCAAAGGCAGAGGCTTAACCGACTGAGCCACCTAGGCGCCCCAGATCACCCTAT